GTTGGTGGGAGGGTAAACTAGTTCAACCATTGTGGAAGACAGTGTGGCGATTCCTCAAGGATCTAGAACTAGAAATACCATTTGACCCAGTGATCCCATTACTGGGTATATACCCAAAGGATTATAAATCATGCTACTATAAAGACACATGCACACTTATGTTTATTGTGGCACTATTCACAATAGCAAGGACTTGGAACCAACCCAGATGTCCATCAATGACTTGCTTGAGAAAATAGGGCACATATACACAATGGAATAATACTATGCAGCCATAAAAAAGGATGAGTTCATGTCCTTTACAGGGACTTGGATGAAGCCGGAAACCATCATTCTCAGCAAACTATCACAAAGATAGAAAACCAAACACCACATGTTCTCATTCAGAGGTGGGAATTGAACCGTGAGATCACTTGGACACAGGGCTGGGAACATCACACACTGGGCTCTGTCGGGGATTGGGGGCTGGGGGAGGGGTAGCATTAGGAGAAATACCTAATGTAAATGACGCGTTGATGGGTGCAGCAAACCAACATGGCACATGTATACCTATGTATCAAACCTGCACATGGTGTACATGTACCCTAGAACTTAAAGTATAAAAAAAAGAAAATTGAGATGGTTGTCTGTAATCTTTTTGTTATGAATAAGCAAAAGATTGTCCAGTACATAATTTAAATTCCAGCATTGAAAGCAGCCTCAAGAGATCACACAGTTCAGACCTCCTTCCTGTGCTTTCCAAAGATAGGTCCCCTGGATTCCACATGACTGAAGTAACTGCTTATTTCTGTGATTTTAGACCACTGGTTTGACAAAAACAAAATGAACCAGGAGTGGGGGGAAAAAACCCAGAAACCCTATTTGTAACAAAGTCTCAACAATGAGATACAATGGTATTAGATACATGCAAACACACACACACCCCCCCCACCAAAATACATAAATAATCCTAGATCTTGTAGCAAATTGTTGATTTATTCATTGTGACTGCAGCTCCTAGTAATGCTATTATTTGCAGGTGGTGAGTGTGGTATGGGATGGTATGGAGCAACATTTTCCAAATTGTGGTTGTGATCAATATATTTTTTGAAATTAAAGATGGAAAAACATCACAGTGCAGAATATATAAGGTCAATGTCCTATGACACTTGATGTATGTATCACACACACATATACACACCTACAGACACACAAATACACATACAATGAATTCTACATATATTGGATTGTGATGTAATCTTTATTTCTTACTCTGAGCTCCAGTTAGAAAAGTTTGACAATCATCATTTTAGAGCTATGTTCAAAAAGTGGAGACTCTCTGACTCACTGTGAGCTCTGCTATATCTATGTGCTTCCTGGAGAGGGAGCAACTTGCTAAGCTAGAGTCCTGTCCATTGGCATGGATATTTACTGTTCCACATGTTGGGAAAACCATGTGCAATAAAAATCAAACATATGAAACAATGGCTGTCATTGTACCACAGTACACCTTGTATCTTGGTTAAGGTTCTTAAATTACTCCTTTGAGTTTCCTAATTCACTTCAGGAAGGATTTGCTGCATTCCGTCTTTATGCTGTTACTTGCAAACCTTGGGAATAAACATAAAAAGAAATTAATGGAGAATTCCAATTCTCATTTTATTAAATCTTTACATCAACAACAGTAAATCTAAGGATGTTTAAATTACGGGGATTCTGGAGCCAAAAATGCTGGTTTCCTGTAAAGAACTAAATTGAGTCCAAGTCCCATTCTTTTAATCCCTGCATTAAATGTGAAGCATGCCTGAAAATATCAGATAGATATCCAAAATCACTTGTAATTGGTATAGTAATCCTTGACTTCAGGGAATGAGATAGTTTGAAGACTAGAATAAAACCACAAAGGGTAGCTGTCTGCAGTATAATCCTTGTTTTGGAGTGTTACCCTTGATGTGGGGAAAGTATTATTACCTTTAATCCCTTTTCTTAAACGAAGGAAGCCCATGGAATACTTGATTTGGCATAGAAATTCAATGATAAATCTACCACATTCTTATTACACAGCTCATATTGGAGAGCACACATTTTTTAGTGTAGTATTTCATTTTTGAAATATGTGAAATGTAAAAATGATTACATCCTTTGACTACACAAGTGACACTTCTGGGAATTTACTCCAGGGATATAATTCAAAAAGAAGAAAACCAACATCGAATACATGTAGATATTTTGTTATAGCATGTGATTTACCCATGTGAAACACCTGTAACAACAGTAAATAGACAACAATTGGGAAATGGTTAAGTGATCTTATGTTAATTTGGACTGCTGTCCTAGATAATTATACTATAATTTTATAATGAGATCATACTTTAAATTTAATGAGAACAATGCAAACATCTGATAATTAAATTTTATTTTGCAACTTCTTATTCCTTTGATTTGAAACTAGGCATGTGACATCTTTCTTCTCTACTAAAAGGTCAATGTCAAGTCTTATATTTCTCTTTCGTGTACAAAACAGAACTCAGCCTTGATTTTTGTTTTTAACTGGAAGAGCTACTTAGTTTCATTATATAATGAACTCTATAAAGCTGCATAAAAATTAAATACTAATTTAAAAACAGAGATAAGCATGGCTGATTAACTACACTGCCCTTGCAGTCTTGTAAAGGAGAGATTGATGTGAACAGTAAAAAGACTGGATGTGTACTCATTAAAATGTTAACACTAATGACTGGAGAGAACACAGGTAATTACTTGCTCCCTTTTGCTTTATAATAAACATTTAACAAGGCAGGGTGTGGTGGCTCATGCCTGTAATCCCAGCACTATGGGAGGCCAAGGCAGGCAGATTACCTGAGGTCAGGAGTTCAAGACCAGCCTAGCCAACATATGAAACCACGTCTTGACAAAAATACAAAAATTAACAGGGCGTGGTGGTGCATACGTGTAATCCCAGCTACTCGGGAGGCTGAGGTAGGAGATTCGCCTGAACCCAGAAGGTGGAGGCTGCAGTGAACTAAGATCACGCCACTGCACTCCAGCCTGGGCGACAGAACAAGATTCCATATCAGCCGGGTGTGGTGGCTCACACCTGTAATCCCAGCACTTTGGGAGGCTGAGGCGGGCAGATCATGAGGTCAGGAGATCAAGACCATCCTGGCTAACATGGTGAAACCCCGTCTCTACTAAAAAAAAATAAAAAATTAGCCAGGCGTGGTGGAGGGCCCCTGTGGTCCCAGCTACTCGGGAGGCTGAGGCAGGAGAATGAGATGAACCCGGGAGGCGGAGGTTGCAGTGAGCCGAGATAGCGCCACTGCATTCCAGCCTGGGTGACGGAGCGAGACTCTGTCTCAAAAAAAAAAAAAAAAAAAAAAAAAAGATGGAAAAAAGACTCCATATCAAAAAAATAAAGATAAATAAATAAATAAAATAAAAAACCTTTAAAAATAATATGCTTTTATAATGAGGTGAAAATAAATGTTTTTCAAGGGAGTTTGAATGTTCCTGGTGGCTAGACTACTTTGTTTTAGTAAGAATAAGGAAATGATTAAATTTTGCCTCACACTTTGGATTTAAATAAGGATTAAATTAAATGTGTAACTCCATTCCCTTACTCTGCTGAATAATTTACTGTTTCATTAACAATTAAACTCAGTCTTTCTTGTTTCCCCTTCATTATTATTACTTTATCATAATTATGATTTTATGTACTTAAGACTGAAAAATTAGCTAAACAAGTTTATGAGATGTGAGAAAAAAAAAAAAAACCCTGAGGATCAGTCACTGGAAACAGGAAAGGTCTCCCTCACTGGCTCAGTGTGTGTCATACTCAGGGTTAAACCAGGCTACACTGAGGGCACCTTCAGGACAGCTTTGCCAGGTTACTGTGGATGCAAGCACCAGGAAAGGTAATAGGTTACTAGAAATAAAACAGTAACTTATTTATGTAACTGAGAAAAAACAGCACAAATGTTAGAGGTAAGAAAAGCTGATGGATTTCTGTTTTTATCCCTCTTTTAAGTTTTTTTTTTTTTTAACTTTATCTAATATCTAGAAGCCTCAAATGGCATAGCTAAATACTTTCCTGCCTGCCTCTAGGACGTAGGGAAGGAAAGAGGAGGGGCATCACAACATTGGGAAATGCACTTTCTTGTGGGCTAGCAGCACCTGTCAAAACATGCCAGCTGTATTTGGGCCTTGGAACAGGTGGTGAAGGCTCAATTTGGAATGGAACTGGTTGCAATTTACCTGAGCTACATGACGAAGGCTACTTTCATCTTTATCAGTAGGTAGATCATAAGGCCAAACTCCAGTGTATGACTTAGTCATAAAGGAAAGTTGGACCCAAGCACTGGCCATCGCTGAGAAGACAAAGAGCTACAGGTGTCCAACAGCTGAAACACTTCTGGAAGTGCCTCATTAGGGACAGAAAGGGGGGCCAGTAACTCTCAGAGAAGTGGCTCTGGCTCATGTGCTATCATTTATGAAGGCTGAGCCCTTCCCTTCACCCCACACCCTCTATATCCACTCACGTTGGTGCTCTGAGATTCATTATGGGAGGCCTGACGTTCCATCAAAGTAACAGATGGCAGGAGTGGGCGGGCATATCTGGCAAAGATTCTAAATTCTACTTGCAAGAAGAAAATTTAAAATGGTCCTGAAATTCCTTCAAATGGGTTCATGCCTATATGATGGTCTGATCCTGAAATCAACAATATTTAGGATCAATGAGCTGCCTAGTTGGGTTCAGTCTCTCGTTGAGGGAGGACAACATTTGGATTAGGGCAGTTGCCTCTCACCAAAAAAACATATAATGTTCTTCACTGCTGGAGTGAGTCATACTGTCTTCTCTGAGCCAGTTGATGATTGCATTTTGCCGGTGTTAGCCATGGAAATTCTTTTAATTCAAATAGTTCAAATATAACAATAGCTAGATCTACAGTTCTGTCCTTCCAGCGTGTTTTTTCGACCTTCTTCTTCTGGTTTCTACCTCCTGCCCTGCTTTCTCTTTGGGAAATTTTAAAGTTTTTAATTTTCAGAGATAGGGCTGTCTGTCTCCCAGGCTGGAGTACAATGGCACAATCATGGCTCACTGCAGCCTTGACCTCCTGGGCTCAAGCAATCCTCCCACCTCAATTTCCTGAGTAGCTGAGATTATAGGCGTGTGCTACTATGCCCCGCTAGTTTTTTTGTTGTTGTTGTTTTGTTTTTTTTGAGACAGAGTCTCACTCTGTCACCAGGCTGGAGTGCAGTGGCGCAGACTCGGCTCACTGCAACCTCTGCCCCCTGAGTTCAAGAGATTCCCCTGCCTGTCTCCTGAGTACCTGGGACTACAGGTGCACACTACCACATCCGGCTAATTTTTTGTATTTTAGTAGAGATGGGGTTTCACCATGTTGGCCAGGATGGTCTTGATCTCCGGACTTCGTGATCCACCTGCCTTGGCCTCCCAAAGTGCTGGGATTACAGGTGTGAGCCACCACGCCTGGCAGCTAATTTTTAAAAAATTTTAATTTTTGCAGAAACAGAGTCTCTCTCACTATGTTGCTCAGGCTGGTCTTGAATTTCTGGCCTCAAGCAATCCTCCCAATTTAGCCTCCCAAAGTGCTGGGATTACAAACATAAGCCACTGCACCTGGCCAGAGAAATTTTTAAAATCAGAAGGTCTTAGGTGGGGTGTTCAATTACAAGATGGGTTACGTGATCCAGACCTCGCCAATCAAAGTATGCCATCTCTCTGGCCATAACGATTGCTTTGGCAAGTCATGTGATCCAGCAGGACTAATCATCTGGGCTACAACAGAACACTGCTTTTTAGAAAATGATTTAAGATAAAGAACTTCAAATTTATGCAGAAGAAGTGAGAATAAATATGAACCTCCTTGTACTCAATACCCAGCTCCAACATTTATCAACTCGTGGTCAAATCTTGAAAAAGGTATCTTTTCACACTGGGAATGATGGACCTAGAAGGATGTTGTTGTCAACAGACATCAGGTCAGTGGAGAGCCTGACTTCAAAATAAACCCTAAATAGAAAGTAGAATAGAAGCAGAGTCCTGAGGACCTTATTTGAGTTCCTTAACCCATTAATGTTGGAGGTTGCAAATTTTTTTGTGTGAAAAACCAGACCTTGGTGATGACCTTGAGCATTAGGATATAAATAACTCCTACTAGCTTAGAGTTCCAACAGTGGAACACTAGGCATAAACGGGTTAATCCAGCTGGGTCTGAAGCCACCATTACCCCTGTACTGTCTTTCTGTTGAAGCCATATTTAGGCAAATCTCTGGCACTTGCAGAAAGTGCTGTCCAATATGAAAACCTTAAATAAACACTTCATAATACTTTTTAAAATCTTTTGTTTATCTTTGAGGTATTTGGAAAGTAGAAATTTTATGGAAATCTTTAAGGGAATAAAAGAAACGGGGAGCTCTGGACATACTAAAACAAAATCATCAGCATTTTAATTATACTCTGCCCAAAGGATACTTCCAGTCCCATTTGGTACAACCATCTACTAAACATTTTAAAGTAAATCACATAAATAGCATTAAGAGATGTAACAAAGGGTACATGGTTTCACCCCTAAAAACAGACAGACAAACTAATTGAGTCTCGAAACCTTCCCCCCCAGAATTTCTGATTCTGAATTATCCTCAAAGCAAAGAATGGATGAGCACAATCACTCCTACATTAGCATTCTGGTATTCCATCCTTTCATATGTAATGAACTATTTTTCTGGCTGTTTCTCCTCTACCTTCCACTTTGTTAGCACAATACTTACACTTTTGCTTTGCTAGTTCTTGTATTAGATCTTCATATACTTGCAAAAAGAGGTCCTCTTCAGATTTTGTTCCATCTAGGTACACTACGAAGGGGAAAAGAGAGCGGTTCAAATGCTAACAGGCTTATTAATATACAATGTTTACTTTGGCACCCAACGTCTCTTGTAAATGCCAATAGGTTTAACCAAGGCACCCAGGACCATAACTTAAAAGAAAATTAATAGTGATTGAAGAAAGAAATAGATACTAGCCAGGTATAATAGGTCAAAAATGCTGGATTGTTACAGATAAATCCACACTGGCTTATGTGAAAATTATTTAATTAAAAGAGAAGAGAAAGAAAGAAGAAAAGAGGAATGAAACAGAAGAAAGTAAGTGGTGTTCTGCATATGGCACTTTTGATGCACTGAAGGTGTTCACCCAAAAGGGTCACTTAAGGAGTAATTCTTCAACATACTTAGACATGAGGATCACCTGGGAAGCTTCTTAAACCATGCAGCGGTCTGGGATCTGCAACATATGTACTAACTCAGAATTCACCAGGCTCAGAAAATATGTGTGTGTGTGTGTGTGTGTGTGTGTGTGTGTGTGTGTGTGTTTTCAGCTATCAGAGAAAAGATGTATTTTTAATAAAACTGGCATAAGCAGCTTTGGAGAAAAAGTAGATGTTGTCTAGGTTAAAGGAAGGAAAGGGCCTTCTGGTCAGAAAATAGCAGGGGAAGGCAAGAGCAATGATGCACCATTTGGAATGGCTAGAATAGGAGGAAGCTCTGGGAACAACATGAGGTGAGATTCTAGAGCAAGACTGTACCTCAGTACCTCAGTCGTTAGAGACCTTGATGTCTGGCTGTTTGGATTGTATCTCAAAGATCTGGAGACGTCTCAAGGTATTCAAGCAGGGCAAGAGCCTGATTAGATTTGCATTTTAGGTAAAAGGGAGAGAAGGGAAGCAAGAGGATGTTCTTGCAACCAATGATCCAAGGTGGACATGGTGCAGCCAGAATCTCAGCATTGGCCCTGGGGATACACTCCGTATGCATTCCACACGGCTCTGACATAGCTACCTATCCTGGAGGCCAACAGGCTTCTCACAACACGGACAAGTCCCCTTTATTGTGAAAAGCATACATCAGTTCTAACTCCTTTGTCTTATAGAACAGCCTTCTGCCATCTTCTCTGCATCGAGTGCCCTATTCCAGTGATCTGTTCTTAGCTCAAGCCCACAGATCCGGATGCTTACCTCCAAATTGCTACATATGTCTCCCAGGCACCTCAACCTTATTATATGCAAAACAGACATGCATTCCTCCCTTACAGGTCTGCAATGCCTTCACTTTTTTCTAACATCCGTCAGTTGCTGAGGCATCTGTCATCTTCCCGCCCCCTCCATAGCTGTTCTATCACCCATTTCTACTGAGTGCAGGCGTCTAACATCACACCCTGTAAATCTATCCTCCTCCATTCTCCACACAGCCAGAGGGGTCTTAACTAAAAAGAATTTGTATCAATCATGTCCTTGTTTAAAACTTCTCTCTAGAGAGCTTCTCACTTCTCTGAGAATAATGATCAAAGTCCTTACCTAGACTATTGGCCTTATAGGGTCTGGACCCTGCCTGTATCACCAGCATCAATCTGCTCCCTTGGTTTTCTTTACCAGAAAGTTTTCTCCGCACCAGCTTTCTTTCAGGGGCTTCTCATTCCTTCGTGTCCTCTGGTCCTTTCGTGTGCCATACCCACTTTCTGGGGTGATCTTCTATTCCCCAATGCATCTCCTTTGTTCAGTTAAACTCATCAAAGGTTGGTTAAATGTGACTTCCTCAAGGAAGCCTTCCCTGACTACTGGGATCTCGGCAGTCCCCTAGAGCTTGGTGTCACAGAACTTACAGCAGCTGGAAAGGACAGGCTGGTGTCTCTAGCACCTGTTTCCACGATAGAATGTCACCTGCATGACAGCAGGGGCTGGGTCTGCCTTATTCCCCTTAACATCTCCAGGGTAGCACCAGAAGGCATTCATTCGATACTGGTTGAATGAATAACCATCCAGAGGCTGATGAGAGCCACAGAGAGAAGCAGAAACCAGGAGAACCAGCTATGGAAGAGGAGAAGCCCAGAGGGTTCTTGCTTAAGTGTCCCTTTATACTTTTCTATGAGTCCTTTCTTTTCTATACTTTGAGGCAAATGACAAGTAAAAGGGGGACTTTTTGAACAGAGGGAGAAAAGGCACTTACCAACTTCCCATGTGATGTCTTGCATTTCTTGTCTGTGCTTTAGATACATGGGCCACACATGGCCATCAAAGTATCCTGGAGAGTCTGGAGGCTCATAGACCCTTGTACTATCAAAACACGTAGGAAACTTTATGTTGACAGAAACACACAATTGATAAAGTAAAATATGAATGGTCAGGATAATGGAGAAATCACTCAGAGGCTGAATCTAAACAGTGTGCTACATGTTTTAACTCAATGGCAGTTAGAAAGACAGTAGTAACGTGGATTTAGTTCTCTGATCCTAAAATTAATTTTGTAATCCACTGACTATCATTCTTAATTATCCTTTTTCCTTCTAGTGCTTTATAAGAGAATTAAGAGACAAATAGTGTAAATAATGATGGAGAGACCACTATGTTGGATTAAGCTTTCACCTAATTGGTGTTCTCTGTAGCTGTGGCAGAACAGGCTCACTCACATTAAAATCATAATCACCATGGGCTTGTTTTGTTTGAGGATCTAGGAGAAATGAGTCAAAAGCTTGATATAAGGCCCTTTTCTTAGAAAGTAATTTGCATTACTTTGTGTGGATGACCATTTATGGAAAAAGGTTTTGCTCCTTTTATAAAGAAGAGTTAAGGCTTCCTGTGTCTGAAAAATGACATTGCTCAATAATGTTGCTGTCCTCATTTTTCTTCTAAATTTTTTGTTTTCAATTACAACTCACAAAGATGATTTCACAACTTACCTCCTCCTCCTTTTACATTCTTCATATGGAATAGTCAGGAAATAGCATCTATTCCATATAGTGTCAAGGGGCCTAAAATAACAGCATACTTAGTTCACAAGGATTTTTCTTCCCCCCATTCACTCAGAGCCAATATTAGAGTGGAGATGCTTACTTATAATTAAAAAGAAGAAAACCTTCGATGATTAAAATGGGAATTTCCTCAGCACTTTCCCGGTCTGTCGATACCACAGAGCGTCTTGCGCTTTCCATCCAGCAGGAAATGGTTGACATCATTTTTTCCATGTTAAGAGCTTCAAGCACTTCGAACAAACACACAAAAATATGCAATCAATATAGCAAAACATTTTGTGATGTGACTTTTTGTGATGCATATATCCAGGATTCTGTAAACATATAGACCACCATTTTATTTCCCTTCAAAACTCCTAATAACAAATATTTTAGATGACACTTTGAAACTCTAATACTGATAAACCAGAGTGAAACGTTTTTATTAAGGAAAATTTCAAACATACAAAAAAGTAAAGTACAGTGAACTCCTACGTCCCTAATACCAGCTCTGACAATCAGAAACCCATGGCTAACCTTGCTTTACTTGTAACTTTGATTCTCTCCTGACTACACAAAAATGTAAAATTTTTAGGAGATGAAATATCTACAGATAAGTTCGAAAGACACATGACTCATGGGGGGAAATATCTGTAATGTCCTTGGCAAAGAGTTAAGATATTTAATCAGCAAAGAGCTCTTCTAGATAAATAACTAAAAGTCAGACAATTTGTAAAGAACACAAATGTGTCATTGTCACACTCTAAAATGTACATACTTCTCGAGCTAGTCGTGATTTTAGAGAAGTAGCCTATAGCTTTTAAAATATGGTACTTAAACCAGTAGTATTAGCATCACCTGGGAACTTGTCAGAAAGGCAAATTCTCAGCTCCACTCCAGAACTACTTAATTGAGCCAACAGCACTTAAGAGTGTTTTTTAGCGGAAGGTTTTTCAATGATGGATTAATTTATTTAATAGACATAGGACTATCAAGGTTTTTTTTTTCTTTGTTCTGGTGTTAGTTTTGGTAAGTGATGTCTTTCTAGGAAATTGTCAATTTCACCTAACTTTTCAAACTTATTTGTATAATGAGTGTTCATAATATCCTTTTATCTCTTTAATGTCTACCGATAATGTTTACAGTGATATTACCTTTTTTGCTTTTGGAATTTGTAATCTGTTCCATCTCTATATTTTTTATCAGACTTAGTTAATCTGGGGATTGCTCAGATTCTTGAAGTTTTATGTCTTAAACCAAATTTGAGAAGTTTTTTTTTTTTTTTTTTGAGACGGAGTCTCGCTCTGTTGCCCAGGCTGGAGTGCAGTGGCCGGATCTCGGCTCACTGCAAGCTCCGCCTCCCGGGTTCACGCCATTCTCCTGCCTCAGCCTCCCGAGTAGCTGGGACTACAGGCGCCCGCCACCTCGCCCGGCTAGTTTTTTGTATTTTTTAGTAGAGATGGGGTTTCACCGTGTTAGCCAGGATGGTCTCGATCTCCTGACCTCGTGATCCACCCGTCTCGGCCTCCCAAAGTGCTGGGATTACAGGCTTGAGCCACCACGCCTGGCCAGTTTTTTTTGTTTTTTAAACCATTACCTCTTCGAATACTTTTTTAGTCCCACACTTTCTCCTGAGACTTCAAAGATATGAATATTAGATCTTTCATTATTGTTCCACATTTTTATTCATTTATTTTCAGTCTATTCTCTCTCTGTTGAGAATAATTTGTATTGTTCTGTCCAAGTTCACTAATTATTTTCTCTGTCGTACTTACTCTGCTACTGAGCCAATCCAGTGAGTTTTCAAATTTTGATTAATGTATTTTTTCCATTCTAAAATTTCCATCTGGTTCTTTTTTCAAATCTTCTATTTCTTTACTGAGGCATTCTAGGTTTTCACTTGTTTCAAGCCTGCTTGCAATACTATGTTTAAAGTCTTTTAATAACGCTGCTTTAAATTCTTTGTCAGATAATTTCAACATCTGTGTCATCACGGTATTGGTGTCTATTGATTCATTTTTCTTGGTCAAGTTGAAACTTTTTTGGTTCTTGGTATAACAAGTGATTCTCAGTTGTGTCCAGGACATTTTAGATCCTGTGTTATAAGGCTGTAGATCCTATTTAATCCTCTTTTGCAGGCAGTCACCCTGTTCCGGTATAGCTTGCAGGTGGGGGCGGATGCTCTGCTTCCTGCTAGGCCCTGCTGATGCTGTGTTGCGGGGGAAGTTGGTCCATTGTGGGAAGAGGGGGTCAAGGAGAGTGCCGGTGAAGTTTCATTGCTGCTAGCTGTGGGCAGAAGTTCATCTTTCCACTGGGTTCCTCTGACAGGAGCTGACACCACCTGAGTAAGGAAGGTGAAGTGCCAACCTGCTCCATTGCACACTGCCTCCTTCCACCTGAGTACTGCCAGGTGGAGGCGAAAGTGCAGCTCCCCATTTGGTTCCACTGGTCCAACCCCCGTGGGTGACGTGGAGGTGATGATCCAGCATCACCCTGCCTTGCTAATGCTGGATGGATCTTCTGGAAGTCCAGCTCCGCACCCAGCTAACACCATGAAGGGAGGACGGTTTTGCCTTTTGTGTCTGGCTAGAGTAGGGTGGATATTATCAAAAAGGTTTTCTGTTCTGGTAGGCCACCCTTTTCCTTGTTCCTTTTTCAGCCTGTGCCCATGAATGGTTCCATGTTGTATACTTCTCCTGTATAGGTAGGAAGCAAAAAGAAAACCCAGGGATCCCATAGCCATGTCATTCCTCACCTCCTGGGATCTCTAGCCAGCATGCTTTCTTTTTTCCCTTCAGTCTTCCTTCGTCTGTTTGTTGCATTATGTCCAGGGTTTTTCATTGTAGGAGGGAGGACCAGTGAGCAATGGGACTAATCCATCTTGGCTGGAACCAGCAGTCTTTCTAGCTTTGATATATTTTTGTGATCATTCATTAAAAATATTTTCTAATTTTCATTGTGATTTAGCTTTTGACCCAAGGAATAGATATGTGTTTTGCTTCAGATAAAATACAAAGATGTTTGGGATTTGCTTGAAAACAATATAGATGAAATATAATTGGTCAAAATTTCATCTTATTAAAACTGGATGGTGAACTCATGAGAGAGTTCATTATACTTTTCTGCTGACCTCTGCATATGTTTGAAATTTTCCATTAGCAAAAGTTTTTGAAAATCAGAAAAAAGGGTAATGCTTACTTTTCAAACACTTGGTTATTGCTTTTTAATTTCCTTCATAGTGATTACAGAGTATCTTTATATTTCTTCAATCCATAAAGTGTATTAGGACTTACTCCATGCCCTTGCATATATGGACTATTTGGGGTAATATATTCCGTGTACTCAAGAAAAAAAATATGTATTCTGCTGTTATTAGGTGCATGTTCTGTACATGTCAGTTTTTGGTCAAGTTAGTTAATTGTATTGTTCAAATCTGTTATATCATTAGTAATTTTTGTCTGCTAGTCCCATTAGTGGCTGTTACGAGCTGAATGTGTCCTCCTATGTTAAAGTCCTCCTGCCCAGTTCTCCAGAATGTGACTTTATTTGGAAATACGGTCATTACAGATACAATCAGTTAAGGTGAGGTCACACTGGAGTAGGGTGGGCACCTGATCCAATATGACTGATTACAGAAGGAGAAAATTCAGACACACACATGGGGACAGTACCATGTGGAGATGAAGTCAGGGACTGGGGTGATGCAGCCGAAGCCAAGGCTGCCAGAGATTTCAGCAAACACCAGAAGCCAGGAGAGGGGCACCAAAAAGAGTCTCCCTCACAGCCTCAGAGGGAGCCCACCCTGCTGACACCTGGATCTCAGACTTCTGGCCTCTCGAATTGTGAGACAATAATTTTCTGTTGTTTCAGGCATTCTGTGGTACTTTGCTATGTTGTCCTAGCAAACTAATACACAAAGGAAGTTGTGTTAAAATCCCCCTCATTAGCTGTGCGTGGTGGCTCACACCTGTAATCCCAGCACTTTGGGAGGCTGAGGTGGGCAGATCACCTGAGGTCAGGAGTTCAAGACCAGCCTAGCCAACCTGGGGAAACCCCATCTCTATTAAAAAAAAAAAAAAAAAAAAAAAATTAGCCAGGCATGGTGGTTCATGGTTGTAGTCCCAGCTACTTGGGAGGCTGGGGCATGAGAATTGTTTGAACCTGGGCAGCAGAGGTTGCAGTGAGCCAAGATCATACCACTGCACTCCAGCCTGGGTGTCAGAGTGAGACTCCATCTCAATAAAAAACCAACCAACAAACAAACAAAAAACTCCCACGCCAATTGTGGATTTGTGTCTTTCTCTCCTCTTAGCTCTGTCAGTGTTTAATGCATTTTAATGTTATGTTATTAGGTAGATAAAAATTTTAGGCTGTTTTATTTTTCTGTCGAAGTAACTCATTTCTCTCTATCTCAGTAAAACTCGGCCTTAAAGTTTACTTTGTCTGGTATTAGTATAGTTGCTAGAGTTATAACAGTTCTTTTGGTAGGTGTTTCCATCATGGATCTTTTTCTAGCCTTTTACTGCCTATATTTCTATGTCCTTATACTTAAGTCCATTTCTTTCAGTTTTTTTCTTTTTTGAGACAGAGTCTCGCTCTGTTGCCCAGACTGGAGTGCAGTGGCGCAACCTTGGCTCACTGCAACCTCTGCCTCCCAGGTTCAAGTGATTCTCCCGCCTTGGCTACCCGAGTAGCTGGGACTACAGTTGTGAGCCACCGCACCCAACTATTAAGCCTTTCTCTTTTAAGGAACTTACTGTTGGCTTAGAAAAAAAAAAAATACCAGTGTGACAATTTTTGGAGTATTTTACTTCCTTTCACTTAATGTGGCTACTGGTATATTTGGACTTAAATCTATCATCTTACTATTATTTTCTATTTTTCCACCATCTTTTGAATTTTTTTTTTTTTTGACACAGTCTCACTCTGTCAGCTAAGCTGGAGTGCAGTGGCATATCTCGGCTCACTATAGCCTTTGCCTCCCGGGCTCAAGTGATCCTCCTGCCTCGGTCTCCGCGGTAGCTGGGACCACAGGTGCACACCACCACACCCGGCTGATTTTTGTACTTTTTGTAGAGACACGGTTTTGCCACATTGCTCAGACTGGTCTTGAACCCCTTGGACCCAAGTAATCTACCCACCTTGGCCTCCCAAAGAGCTGGGCTTACACGTGTGAGCCACTGTACCCGGCCATCCTTTGATTTTTAATTTTTGTTTTGATTTCTTTCATATTAATCAGCTATATTCCATTGAAAATATAATTATTTCCTCTACAAACTTGATGGTTCCACATTTTAAAACTATCCTGTTTGTGCTTAGATAGACTTGACTAGTACTTTGATTTACCTTAAATCTGTGCATTTACCTAAAACGTTCAAATCTTTCCTTAAGATAGATTCCTGATGTCAGATGCTTGAAGTCATGGCATGAACATGCTAAGTTTGGGACACATGCTCAACCTCCTTTCCAGAAAGGCTGTACCAATTTATCTATATACTTCCATCTAAAGTATATTAGGGCCTTTGTTTTACTGAGCCCGTGCTATCACTGGATAATTCTCATTGCTTTAAACATCTTCGTTTACTTGGTAAGTGGGAAAAAAAGTAATTTACAGTTCTTTAAGGTTGACTTTTATCGTACATTTATCAATCCAATAACTGACTGCTTCTATGAAGAGCTTATTCACAACCTTAGGCCCTTTTCCTACTGGGATATTAGTTTTTCTTACCAGTTTGTAAGAATTCATTAAAAATTAGAAGTAGTAATTCTTTTCCAATTGTTGAAAACTGTTTTACCCTGTTTTTCACCGTTCCTTTGCAATGATTTTTCTCACTAACCTCTGGACGAGAGGAAGAGAAGAAAAAAAAAAAAGAAAAAATGATCCTGGCTGCAACTCAAGCTGCAAGAACAGAGAGTGAGTCAAGAATTTTGCCTCTCATAAAACTATTATGTGTCTGTAAGAACTGATCATATAACACTTTTCCTAAAAGATTATCAGTTAAAAATAGAGAACATACTTTATGACTTTTTAAGAGAGCTCCCTCTGTTACTAGTTTGTATAAGTACTCAATGATCATCTTTTTAATTGTAAAGGTTAATAAGACCAACAAGTATTAAACAGCCTATTAGCATGATATTCTCTACAGAAAATGTTTTAGGATAGACTGTAATCCTTTGGCCTCAAAACTGTTAGCTTGGAGTAAGGAATGAGGAGAATCCATGTAAAATATGTTCACAAAACTTTCTGAACAGTGAAAAAAACAAAACCAAACCACAGCTGTCTAGTACTTTGGCCACCAGGAAGGAAAGCTGAAAGAATGAGAGAATATAGTTTGCTCCAGGCAAAATTCTGTCATGGGGTGGTTGAGGGTGACCAATATAGCTACTTGTACATCTCCAGAACAGGAATAGGCAGAGGGACAGCAAGTTTAACTTGCTTCAGAAGAAAACCCTATGATTCCACATGGAGAAAGGGGAACCTTCATACACTATTGGGAGGAATGTAAATTAGTACAGTCACTATGCAGGAGTACAGAGATTCCTCAAAAAATTAAAAATAGAACTACCGCATGATCCGGCAATTCCATTACCAGGTATATATCCAAAATAAAAGAAATCAATCTACCCAAGAAATATCTGCACCGCCATGTTTATTGCAGCACTATTCACAAATAGCCAGAATATGAAATGAACCTAAGTACCCATCGATGAAGAAAGGGATAAAGAAAGTATGGTGCGTATATGTAATGGAATATCATGCAGCCATAAAAAAAACGAAGTCGTCATTTACAGCAACATGGATGGAACTGGAGGCCATTATGTTAAATGAAGTAAGTCAGGCACAGAAAGACAAATATCACATATCCTAATGCATATGTGGGAGCTAAAAAAAGTGGATTTCATGAAGATAGAGAGTAGACTGGTGGTTTCCAGAGGCCTGAAAGGGGAAGCAGGTGAGGGGAATGAAGGGAGAAAAAAAAATATATTTATTACCAATGAACTGTACACTTAAGATTGGTAAAGATAGTAAATTATATAGGCATATTTTACCTCAATTAAAAAGAAGAAAAATCTATCATTCCCGTGTTTTCAGTTTTAAAAATATACATATTTTTGAGACAGGGTCTCACTCTGTCACCCAGGCTGGAGTAGAGTGGTGCGACCTGGGTTCACTGCAGACTCAGCCTCCTGGGCAAAGTGATCCTCCCACCTTAGCCTCCAAAGTAGCTGTGACTACAGGCATGCACCACCACATCTGGCTAATTTTTGCATTTTTTGGGGTAGAGATGGAATCTCCCTGTGTTGCCCAGGCTGGTCTCAAACTCCTGAGCTCAAGTGATCTGCCTGCCTCGGCATTCCAAAGTGCTGGCATTACAGGTGTGAGCCTCCAAGTCTGGCCCCAATGTTTTCAGTTTTAAATATAAAACTGGAAAAAGGTTTTCACTTATTTAAATAGTTGAACAGAAATCAGAAACCTACAAAGGCAGGCTTAAAGTACAGCAATATATTTAAACACGTTTTAAGACTGCCTTCACAGATACAGTAAAGCTCTTTTTTTAAATTTTTGTTTCACAGAACCATCAAGTTCAACATAGTGAAGTTCTTTGGGTTTGAAAAAGAAAATGAACATAAGCATACAATATTTGACAAGCAAATCTACTTACCATCATACTGCAAAAATCCATTTTTATCTGTCTCTATCTCAGACTCTGGCTGGAAAAATAATAAAGTACCCATCAAAATAGTGTGTAGGAAAGAAATAATACAATTATAGACTAAAGAGGAGATAAGTTTTTAATAAATGCTTTGGATGAGCAATTAAAGATCAGCACTGATAGACAGTGCCATCTAGTGGATAAGTGGCACCATTGCACTGAGCCTAATTTCAATACAAAAGGTACATCACTCGCCAAAGACTTCTTGGATGTAATTCAATTAACTTGGTGGTTAAACCGTTTTGTATTAAATAAATAATTTAAGAAGTTTTATAGATACCTTGAAAAAATCATCCTGAGATATGACACTGCAATTTGGGAGGTGTTTCTGCAAATTCTTAGCCAGTGTTGTTTTCCCACCATTTGTCACACTGAAGCAAAGAAAAGTACCAAGAAGGAAAAACCATTAAAAATCATTAAACACTTTTTTTTCTTTTTTGAGAGACGGGGTCTCGCTGTGTCACCAAGGCTGAAGTGCATCGGTGCGATCTTGGCTCACTGTAACCTCTGATTCCTGGGTTCAAGTGATTCTCCTGCCTCAGCCTCCCGAGCAGCTGGGATTACAGGTGCCACAACCATACCCGGATAATTTTTGTATTTTTAGTAGAGATGGGGTTTCGCCATGTTAGACAGGCTGGTCTGGAACTCCTGACCTCAGGTGATCCACCCGCCTGGGCCTCCCGAAGTGCTGGGATTACAGGCATGAGCCACAGGGCCTGGCCAAAAAATCATTAAACACTTTAAAATATTTTTAAAGAGGATATTTAAAGCAATATTTAATATTTAAGAAAAAAAGATTTCTTTCATAGATAGTGCCTTAAACCACAGGCACCAGCAGATCTGATGTACTAAACGATAAGAAATAAGCTGGGAAAGATGAAGGAGAAAGGTAACTGCCGAGTAAGTGAACTGAGTAACACTAACACTTAAAAATACAGACACTGTGTTGGAAGCGAAATGTTTTTTTGCCTATGTCAAAATATTCACATGGTTCATACGCAACACAGAGAATATGAGTAGCACGTTTTAGTGCAAGTGTATAAAACTACATATGGTCACTGTGATTTTGCTTCAAGGCACAGTGGAAAAAACAGGAGTGGCTTAGTACAAGCCCACCTACCAAGAAGTCACATTTCCTCTGTGGTGCCTCCTTTTCTCCATCTCTCTCCACCTGGGGGCCAGCTGGGAGGTCCGCTGTAGCTTATCCCATCAGGCCAGTTATTTGTCCCTTCTGGCCGGACCGTGAAGTCCAGGAGAAGGGGCACTGAGTCACTCCTCTTTAGATCTAGTTTCCCAAGGTCTAGGAGATCACACGGGAGGGAGGCACTTCCCTACTCAGTCGTTTATTGAAAGAGTGTTTTAACCTGGGACTCATGTCTGTAAATACAAGTCAGGGCATTTGTGAACTTGAATGAGAAAAAAATTATACCTTTAATTTCACTGAATTCTAACAGAAATTTAGTATCTCCTTTAATTATAAATATAAGTGATATAAGTACCCCTGACATTCACCAAGAGAAATCACAGATATTTTCATATTATGTTGCAGTTGGGTTGGATATCTTGAAGTATCATCAATGTTCATTATTACTTCTGATTTGTGGCATTGTTTAGACCCACCTCTGGGTATTGTTATTTAATATATTGACATAGAAGATTATATATCACAATATCACAAATTTGTTTTTAAAAATAATTTTATAACTATATTTCAATATAACCAATTTCCTTTGTATTCCTGTATTTTATTTTGTACACTCAAAACTATTACTCTGAGGTCAAGATTTCACCATACCACCAAATGTTCACAGCACAAAAAAACTCCTGACTACACATCTATTTGTAAGAAACTTTGCTTAATCCCAGATGAGATCAATCCACAAATACTTATAATCTAGAAAAGGGAAAATGAACTAACATCCATTCATCAAAATGGCCTGCATATAACTCTACTATTACATTATACCTCAAGGTAGAAGGAACCTGATTCACAAGATTTCTCATTTAACCTTACGATACACGATTGGGTAGGATATGGGCCATCTCTTTGAAAATAAGGAAAAGGGAGTGGGTGCTACCCTATGTATCGAGAAAATATTACAACTTTTCCCCCTCTTTAACAAAAATGTCTGTAAACTATACCAAGTGTCCATAGTTTAGGTATTAAGTTTTGGTTTAAATGAGATAGTGAACGGGAGTGACTTTATTACAATATGAACAATCTGGCTAGAAAAAAATCTGTCATTTTCTAGACTTATCTCTGTTAAGATCATGCAGTCAAACCAACAGTAGTAATTAGATCCTTTCTCACTGACTTAGCTAAAGCCAATGAGAAATACACACCCCATTTTTGCACAAGCCTTGGAGGAGACAGACCGGCTAGAAGATAGTCTGAGATACGGGGAGGAGAGGGGAGACAAAGTATTTAAACAAGCCTGCACCTAAAATCCACACGCAGATTTGGAGACATCCTGGTCAGGTGACAGCTCAGGCCACCCACAACATGGGGAAAAGGAATAGGAACCTTCCTTGGGGAAGGGAATAGGATGGGGGAAAGGAATAGGAATGGGGGAATAGAATGGGGGAAAGGAATGGGGGAAGGAATAGGAAGGTCACCCAAAACATGAGGGAAAGGAATAGGAACCTTCTCCTATGGCACACCCACAACCACCACGTGCAGCACACTCACAGCCTTGCTCGCATGTGCTATCCAACCTGAGGAGAAGTGTGCCCAGCGTGCTCAGATCCTAGGAGCCTAGGAAGGAAAAAGGGTGACTACTTGGTGCCGCTCCCTTCTTTGCTCACAACACCCAAATAAATGCACAACTCCTGGCCCATTTATTTTTTTATGTGCCAGGTAACAAGAGGGCTCATTGTATTTGGACATAACAGTGGGCTAGGGAGAAGTTAAAAGGCTGTCTGTAATTATTCAAACATATTCTGCAACAGGTAGATGTTAATATTCCAATTTTCCAGTTGAGGAAACTAAGGATTGAGAAGTTGTATAGTAATAAAACCAGTCCATGTTAAGAAATGGAGATGGGATACAAAGTCTAATGCTAGGATGGATTTTAATTTTTTTTACATTGTGGGACTCTGAGAGAATCCCACGAAGGTTATCATCCCTTTCCCTAGTGACTGAGTTTGGATGTTTGTCCTCTCCAAATGTCATACTGAAATGTGATCCCCGGCTGGGCACGGTGACTCACACCTGTATCCCAGTACTTTGGGAGGCGGAGGTGGGCAGATCACCTGAGGTCAGGAGTTCAAGACCAGCCTGGTCAACATGGTGAAACCCTGCCTCTATTAAAAATACAAAACTTAGGCTGGGTGCTGTGGCTCGCGCCTATAATCCCAGCACTTTGGGAGGCCGAGGCAGGAGGATCATGAGGTTAGGAGATCAAGACCATCCTGGCTAACACGGTGAAACCCCGTCTCTACTAAAAAAATACAAAAAAATTAGCCGGGCGTGGTGGCGGGCACCTGTAGTCCCAGTTACTCGGGAGGCTGAGGCAGGAGAATGGCATGAACCCGGAAGGTGGAGCTTGCAGTGAGCTGAGATCAAGCCGCTGCACTCCGGCTGGGGCGACAGAGCGAGACTCCATTTCAAACAAACAAAAAAAACAAACAAACAAAAACAAAGAACAAAAATTAGCTGGGTGTGGTGGTGCATGCCTGTAGTCCCGGCTACTTGGGAGGCTGAGGCACGAGAATTCCTTGAACCTGGGAGGTCGAGGCTGTAGTGAGCCGAGATTGCACCACTGCACTCCAGCCTGGGCGAGCGAGACTCTGTCTGAAAAAAGAAATGTGACCCCCAAGCTGGAGGTGGGGCCTGCTGGCAGGTGTTTGGCTCATGGGGGCAGATCCCTCATGAAGGGTTTGGTGCCATCCCCATGGTAATGAGTGAGTTCTTGCTCTGTTGGTTCATGTGAGAGCTGGTTGTTTAAAAAGTCTGAGACTTCCCTCTCACTCTCTTTTTTTTTTTTTTGTTTTGAGATGGGAGTCTCACTCTGTCGCCCAGTCTAGAGTGCAGTGGTGTGATCTCGGCTCACTGAAAGCTCTACCTCCCAGGTTCACGCCCTTCTCCTGCCTCAGCCTCCCGAGTAGCTGGGACTACAGGCGCCTGCCACGCCTGACTAATTTTTTGTATTTTTACTAGAGACGGGGTTTCAACGTGTTAACCAGGATGGTCTCGATCTCCTGACCTCGTGATCCACCCGCCTTGGCCTCCCAAAGTGCTGGGATTACAGGTGGGAGCCACTGCGCCCAGTCCCATCTCACTCTCTCTTGCTCCTTCTGCCATGTGACATGCTGGATCCCCTTCACCTTCCACCATGAATGTAAGCTTCCTGAGGCCCTCATCAGAAGCACGTACCAGCACCATGCTTCTTGTAGAGCCTGCAGAACAGTGAGCCAAATAAACCTCTTTTTCTTTATAAATTACTCAGCTTCAGGCATTCCTTTATAGCAAGACAAATGGACTAATACACCCAGAAAAATGACTATATTTACATGTGTGTTAAATCTCCAGGAGGTTCATGGATGCCCTCTGAATTCCTTCAGAACCCCTGTTATTTGCAATTGAATAATTACTGTTATTACTTCCCTATGAAGTAATAATTCGGTCGAGACTTATTGGACAATTACTTCGTAGGGAAGCAAGTGGTTAGGTTCATAAGATGCAAGGCAGGAACAAAATTCGCCATAACTGAATCTGGCATGGGCTTCACAGGTGCAGCAGCACTAAAACGAAATCAAGGCACTTGGCCAGGAGCAGTGGCTCATCCTTGTAATCCCAGCACTTTGGGAGGCCCAGGTGGGAGGACTGTTTGAGGCCAGGAGTTCAAGACCAGCCTGGACAACATAGTAAGACCCTATCCCTTAAAAGAGAAAAAGGAGAAATCATGGCACTTGCTAAAGAAAAGATAGTGGAAAGAAGGCTTTCTTAGGAAGTTATGGATAGTACCTAGTGCACAGGACAAGACAGGAGGTAGGTTTCTAGGTACATGGGCCTGTATTGGGACATTGAGCAGAGGGAAATCTTATTTACACAAATGCCAAATGAAGGGTGGATTGGATCCTGTAGTGGACTCTGTAGTTGCCTTTCCAGGTTCTATGTCTGTTTTCTAGGTCTGGTTGGAACTGCTCCCACTCTCAATTCCAGAACAGAACCCACTGACCTAAACCAATCAATGTAATCCCACCTCTTTTACCACGGTGGCTGCGTGTATGTGGACCACGCTTGTCCAGTCAAAGGGAGACCTATGACCTAGGAGAAGAGAAGTATTTCCCCTTCTGCCCAGTGACAGGCTATGAAGAAACAAGTCATAGGGCTCCTAGCAGCTCCTTGTGACCAAAAGGGTAAGTCAGTTCTAAGATGAACCCAAATGAAAGACACATAGAAGAGAGAAAAACTGTCTTTGGTGATACCACTGAGCTCCTGTATCAAATCCTTCCTGCAGCCTGCTACCCCTGAGGCTAATACATTTCCTTTATTACTTATGGATAGCCTTCATAGACCATGATATTCAGATTTAATTCTCAATAACTGCGAACCACTGAATATCATTCTTCAGGCAGATAATTAAAATGTTCTGTATGAAGTTTAAACTGGTAGAGGTGTGTAGGAAAGATTAGAAGGGAAAGATGGGGATTAGGGAATGACAGCCTATATCAGGATGGTGGGAGTGAGTGCGGGAAGGAAGAGAAACACAAGAGAAGTACTGCAGAGAAAAACTGAACTTTTCTTCTGATTAGACGGGAGGCAAAGCAGAGTTCTGACATTTAGTTCACTCAATTTTACTTCTGATTGGTGACTTACTATGGTAATGTAATACCATAACACAATGATCTCCCCAAAATTACAAACAAAGTAGTCTCATATTTTATTAACTGGGTCACAAATAATGTGAATATAATTAGAGTAAAGGTGAACATAATATGGTAGCAAGACAAATAGTGTCATTTTCAGTTGATGTTGATGTTTTATTTGCATGCCTGCCTCTGGGACCACAGGTAGGATGACCATATAATTTAGAACATGTTTGAGAGAAAGAGAGGTGCATCCAGGACCACAAGTATTAGCTTGGGCAACATGGGACATAAGGCCACCCAAAACATGGGGGAAAGGAATGGAGGTGAAGGTGTTCTCTATAGCACATGTCTGAAGCTGGGCACAGCTGGAAAGAAACACTAAACTTTCTCCTCCGTCATGATGGAGGAACACCCATATGGGGAATGATAAATCATCCTGAATGAAAGCAGTGCCCAATCAGACCTTGCCTCTGGTGTTAGCTCCACAAAATAAAAGGGGAAGTGGGTAAATGTGGTTGATGGACTCTTCTGTCTCTCTGTTTATAGAAAACTCTTCCATCTCTTGTTGGCATTTATGATGCCAGCACTTTACTGACATCCCACAGTGGTCTGCTCTTCCCCAGGACTCTGGAATCCTCACTGCTTCTCCGTCCCCTACTCCATCCACACGGAAACACCATTTGCACATCCTCAGTATCTTAAAGAGCTGTTTGTACCAAAATTACTCACCCACTGATTCCAACGATAAATGTTTTCATAATTAGCTTTGAAAACCACAGCTTCCTAATATTTCCTAAAAGTAAAAAAAAAAAAAAAATATTCAAATGCATTTCATTTAGATGTCTAGGGAGATAAAGAATCCTAAATTAGGAACACCAGCTGAGAGGGGAGGGTGACAGTGACCTCTCAGCACAGCCCCGCATTATCCACATTCCCTGCCGTACTGGCTTCCCCTGCTACCACTGAGTGCCAACAGCCGGGACGTGCTCAGGGCCTCTCAACCAGTTGAATGTCAGGTGAGCTGCGGAGCACTCCCCCTTGAATGTCTGTTTTCCAAGCGTGGAAGAGTTGCTAGGCCACAGTGTGGTATATGAAGTTTCATTCTCTCCTTAGCCAGGTTGCCTTCCACCTGCACAATTCAGTCACCTGGGTATGACTCATTATCAGTGAGGCAGGGACCTCTGTGGGCTGGCCTCTTTCTCCCCTGATAAGACAGGAAAAAAGTTGCTACCGACCAGAAGCAAAATGAAGCTAATGCCATTTAAAGATGAGATTTCTTCACCCAAAAGCCCGGCTCTTGGGCCTGGCTAGGTACATTTTTTTTGGAAACAGGCCAGATAGTAAATATTTGCCACTGTGTGGGTCAAGAGGCAAAATCTAAATTGTTATGTATGGACTTATATAACAAGAGAAAAAATATTTTCACAAATTTTTGTGATGAAATTCAATATATAATCATAATTTTTTTTTAACAGGTCTACTAACGACAAGAATGAAATTCCCTTTTATTGGGCTATCATTTCCCTTAATTGGATTTCTGAGGTGCTTTCTACATGACACTGCAAATGTTCAGGCAGAGGGCCAGGTTAAGCCACCGGCTGCTGTTTTGTGGACCTTTGGTCTAGTGGATGGAGGGCAGTTTCATACATGCCTCCCTAAGGTTCACTAAAGCAGTCCTTGGTTATTACAATGAGCCATTTTTCATCATTAAGTGAAAAGGTGAAGCGCAGCTGGAGAGAACCTTAATAGTGGCTGCTGAAGGTCATCTCTGACAGTCACTGTTCTTCATTCCTATCTGCTCGGGGGGGGCGGGGGGGGTGACCAGGGACCTAGGCTGTGTAGCCGGGGGCAAGTGGCTACCTGTCAAGCTGGAGGCTCCCAGCAATGCTCCAGTTCCTATGATCTGTGTCCACACTCTCCCTGGGGAGGGGTTATGCAGAAAAAAGCCTGGTGGGGAAAGGGCTATTGTTGCCTGACTTCTTGACCTTTCTAGAATATTCCACATTGACTACAATTGCTTAACACTGGGTCCAATTCCATTAACAAGTCTGTGTGAGACAAGAATTCAATAATGACTGTGATAAAATAGCAGCCGGGCACGGTGGCTCATGCCTATAATCCCGGCACTTTGGGAGGCCAAGGCAGGCGGATTGCTTGAGCTCAGGAGTTTGAGACCAGTCTGGGCAACATGGGAAAACGCTGTCTGTACCAAAAATACAAAAGATTAGCCAGGCCTGGTGGTGTGCTCCTGTAGTTCCAGCTACTTCGGAGGCTGAGGTGGGAGGATTGCTTGAGCCCGCAAGGTGGGGGTAGCAGTGAGTGGAGACTGAGCTGCTACACTCCAGTCTGGGTGACAGCGAGACCCTGGCTTAAAAAATAAAATAAAATAGCAGAACAAGTTGGATATTTGAGTTTCATCCAGAGTTATGTTGTTGAATCACATCTCCATCCAAATTTACAAGATGTATCGAGAGAATGACTGCATACAATGAATATTGTAAAATACATTTTTATGTTGTAATTTTTCTGCTTTTGAATTTTACTTTACCCTATTCTTATTTTTTCGGTATGTCAGTGCAATGATGCCAACTAGCCTTATTTTGGGAAGGGAGAGGCTGCTCTTTATCTCACTTTTGTGGCGATAAATGTTCTTTCTTTTACAAAATTATGTTGTCAAAAATTGTTCGCAGAGTGATATCCTCACTTGACCAAATAAAAATTCATAAAACTTTGTCATTCCTTGCCCCCATTTCACTTATTTTTGGATAGCTCGCTGAAGCATAAATTCTCAAACTTGGAGAAGTATAGCTTTAGAGATTACTTGGTCTACCTCTTCATTTTGCAGAAGTGGAAACTGGCTCAGACAATAGAGCGATTTGCCTAAGGTCACACAGACAGTAAGTGGAAAAGCCAGATATGAAACTAAACCAGTTGAGTTGACTTCTTTCCATCACTCCAAGCTGCTAAAAAGCACTTTCTTACTAACAGCAAAGAAAGGGTGTTACATATGTGCTAGCTTAATTGCCAGGCTCTGATGGATAATTGATGTCATTCTTACTGATGTATTATTGATGGGGCACTATTTGCTGTGCACACAGAATGGAAAGGACTACTGGTCCCCGTCTTAATTGCCACATCTGTGCTGACACGTGTGACTGTTGCATCAATTACATGGCATGTAAATAACAAGTGAGCATGGTTGTGGCACGGGAAATAGGCTTGAGGGGGTTACTTGCATTCAGGAACCAGGAGTGAGATGGCATAAAAAACTCACTTATAAAATCTCTTGGATACAGTGAAATGTAAGTTTTGTTTTTGTTTTTTAACTGAAACAAGAACTCCCAGTTCTACATTAGTTAGCAGTCTGGGCCTGTCCAAGCCAGTGTTTGGGTAAATGCTGGGCATACCCTATCAGCAATGAGCAGGTAACAATGTGACCGGAAGGGTGGGCAACTGGAACATGCAGAGACAAGAGAGGCAACAGGGCTAAGTGACTAGGGTGGGTGGGGGTACGCCTAGCAATCCCTGAAGTCATTTATTTCAAAAACACTGTGCATGCACAGGGCAGCTTTAGGGGAGCTCCAGGTTCAGGCCTGGCACTGTCCACCTCCACATCATGTTCTACTGTTTCATTGCCTGTTGCCCTCTATAAGAACTATTAAAAATCACCAAGGTGGCCGGGTGCGGTGGCTCACGCCTGTAATCCCAGCACTTTGGGAGGCCGAAGCGGGCGGATCACGAGGTCAGGAGATCGAGGCCATCCTGGCTAACACGGTGAAACCCCGTCTCTACTAAAAATGCAAAAAAGTAGCTGGGCGTGGCGTCGGGCGCCTGTAGTCCCAGCTACTTGGGAGACTGAGGCAAGAGAATGGCGTGAACCCGGGAAGCGGAGCTTGCAGTGAACTGAGATCGCGCCACTGTACTCCAGCCTGGGTGACTGAGCCAGACTCCGTCTCAAAAAAAAAAAAGAAAAAAAAAAAATCACCAAGGCTACAGTGAGCCATGACTGCGCCCGCCACTGCATTTCAGCCTTGGCGATAGAGCGAGACCCTCTGTTGAAAAAAAACCAAAGCAAACAGACAAAAAACAACCCCAAAACTGCCTCCCAAGAAACCAAAAACAAAACATCAAATTTAAAAAGCTTGCAATTATGATTTGCCAGGCTTCATGAAGCAAATGCAAGCTTCGTGCAAACTGTAAATCATGTGATGTGTCCAAAGAGTCATCATTTCAGGGCACGTCTATCACTAGAATCCACACCACCTTCAATCTCATGGAATATCTGTGTAGTTTATTTTCCCGGTGTGTGCAAAGCTTTCCTCAACAGCAGAGAGCTTTTGCATAGCGGGAGAACAAACTAGGATAGCCAAGAGCAAATCTAAAATGACTAATTTCTATTTTTTACACTTTTTTTTAACCCTAAGTAATATGTTGTTGGGGTTTTTTTTTTTTTTAAATTCAGATGTGTTTATTATGTTTAATTCATTTCACTACTAAACATTTACATTTTGGATTCTAAACAGCAGAACGGTCAGAAGTGGCATGTGCAGAATCAGCAGATTGTACGAAGAGGGCAGCTCTCTAACGCAAATGAACTGAAAGACAAAGTTCCTGCTAAATGTGCTCTTCAAATGTATCTACAGGACAGCCTGATATTTTAAAAAGAGGAAAATGTTTCCAGGACTTCTCACTCTATTCTATTCAACGGCTATTTTGATTCTCTTCTTCCAGGAGATAGGGCAGTCTTTTCCTACTATTGTTTAAACTTTGCTCCCTTTTGGTAAACAAATACCTCAAGGCTGGGTTTTTTGTTTTGTTTTGTTTTTTTTCCTAAGACAGTCTCGCTCTGTCACCAGGCTGGAGTGCAGTGGTGTAATCTCGGCTCACTGCAACCTCCGCCTCCCGGGTTCAAGTGATTCTTCTGCCTCAGCCTCCCGAGTAGCTGGGACTACAGGCGCCCGCCACCACGCCCGGCTAATTTTTGAATTTTTAGTAGAGATCAGGTTTCACCATGTTGGCCAGGATGGTCTCGATCTCATTGACCTCGTGATCCACCCGCCTTAGCCTCCCACAGTGCTGGGATTACAGGCGTGAAGGGCTGGGGTTTTTGAAAACGCAATTCATGCCCCTTCCCCGTTGGTTTCATTTATGTAGGTTCTTGTGTAAATAGTTTTTTCCTTCCCCAAATACACAATTAATTTACAATATTGACTGTTATTTTGAACTTATGCCATTGGCTTCCTTGTGTGCTCCAGTTCTTTCCTCCCACCGAAGACAATATCCGCTAGATCAGGGGTCGGCAAACTTTTTCTGTCAAGTGCCAGATAGGAAATGCTTTGGGCTTTGCCAGCTGCTACTCAACCCTGCTGGGTAATGCGAAAGCGGCCACAGACAACACAGATGCAAATGAGCGTGACTGTGTTCCAGTAAAATTTTACGGACACTGAAATCGGAATTTCATGTAATTTTCACGGACACTGAAATCGGAATTTCATGTAATTTTCACGTGTCACAAAGTATTATATTTCTTTTGATTTCTTTTCAGCCATTAAAAACGTAAAAAAAAAAAAAATTCTTAGCAGGCCATACAATAACAGGCAGCAGGCGGGCAGTAGGTCATCACCCCAACGCTAGAGGAAAGAGACCATCTCGACCCGCGAGGATCGAGTACTGAATCCTGTCCCTGGCGACTTCTCCCAGCTGCGCGGTCTCTTGGAGGCAGAGTTCCCATTTTCAGGATTATGCCAGGGCGCTAGAGCAGGAGTCCACGTGCTCCTCGGCAGGCCACCTATCAGTTCTCTGAGGGTGGCAAGAGTCCAGGCAAGGCTTTCAAGGTGTAACCAAGTCCCGAGCTCCAGCACAAAAACCCTCTGGAAACACCTCCAGGCCCCACCAAGGCGGCGCGGCGCGGCGCGGCGCGGCGCGGCAGGGGCGAGCAGGTAAGCACTCACCTGGCGCCAGTTCGAGTCCTCCCAAACACAGCGGCAAGGGCGACAGCCAGGCGCGCGCCTGTCCCCAGTGCGCCGCTACCCGCAGCTCGCTCCCCGAGAGGCCCACAGCCTCTTTCTCCACGATCCTCCTGGATTAGAGGGATGCCAGCTAGCGGTGGCCACCTGAGGCCCCTTTCCACTCAGCTGTGCCCCGGGTTCCAGCCCCCGTTGGGGCGGGGCGGGGCGGGGCGGGGCACACGGCGGAGCAGCTCTGCCTGCGTCCGCTCTTTGCGCAGCCAAGGGTGGGCGCCGGTCCTGAGAGGCGCACCGTTGTAAGCCAGACAAAAAGAAACTGGGGTGCCTGAGTGCCAGGTGGCGGGCAAGCGGTGGGCTTTTCGGCGGGGTCTTTAGGATTTGCAGCGCCAGGAAGCGAGATGTCGAAGCCGCCACCCAAACCAGTCAAACCAGGTGAGGGACGTAAGGGAGGCGCTCGTCGGGTCCTCTGGCCTCCGCGGTGCCGGCCCCTCCTCTGCCGCTTGGCAGGGAGGACCCGGCGCGCACCCGGCCCCGAGCCTGGCTTACGAGATCTGCCCCACTGGGATGGGAGCTCTTTTGCGTTCGCTGTTACCGGGGAGGGATCGATTTTGATAGCGAGAGGATTTCGAGGGTTAAAAAATATATATATATATATTTTTAAAGGGGAGTCGACCTCACTTTTGCTACGTTGTCATTCGCTGAAACTTTCAGAGGGTGTGATGGCAACGTCCCATGGAAGTTTTCCGGAAAGACAGGGCCATTGATCTCCCTTTAAAAAATGTCTTGAAATGGTCTTTAGCCACTTCCTCTTTTCTCAGTGTTTGTCACTGTCAAGTTAGGGTTCCTGACCGGCCAGAGCGAACGGGAAGTGCAATGCTTGCAGGGTGGGGTGGGCGAGCGAGCCTCCTTCGGGACTTAGGCTAGGAGCAGCGTTTGAAATTGACCTCGGGATCGTGGAAAGAGCGTTTAGAAAACCCCGTGCTCGCGCTCCTGGTGGAAAGAATCTAGGATGCGAAAGTAATCTCAGCTGTTGCTATTCGGAAGTGTCATTTTATCATCTCCTTTGCCTTCGCTCTCCCAAAGACGTTGGCGTGGTAAACCTGAGAGGACTGAGATTACTACATTCCTCAAAGCAGTTTTCTTGGCGGATTGTCCTCGTTCATTTTTGCTCTGTTCTTAGACTATTTTTTGTGATATGCAGAAATAAGAGAATTATGAAAGAAACTGACGTATTTTAATTAAATATTGTAACCTACTCTTCCGCGCGTTCATTTGGGTAGGTACTTAGAAAGGACTGACGTATTTCAATACTTTAACAACTCTTAGGTGCTTTCATTTGGGTAGGTAATTAAGGGAAATACGGGAAATGGAAGATAAATGACTCCGATGTATTCTTGGTTATTTTCACTCCCATCTTGTGTAATTTCGGTATAGCGAAATGCTGAAATTTAATCCATTTACATCAAATTTTGAAGTAACTTTCGTTGCAGGAGATAAGAGTTTCAGTGATTAATTTTTTCCTTGATTTTCCTAAACTCTACAGCTTTCATACTTGTCTGGTTTTCTTCCTTTGCGTTCCTGCAGTTGGAGTATGAAGTCCCTTTATTTGATAATCATGTACATACCTATGGGGAATAGTCCTTCACTGAGGACTGACATCTTGGTGGGCTGAGTGTGAAGGAAGTTGCTGAGACTGGCTCTTCCCTGAGTAAAGATGGGGCACAGCTAGAGTTGGGCTCTGCATTGCATTAGATGTGGAATCTGATGAGAAATTTCCATTTTAAGTGCATGTGTATGAGGTAGCTTTCTAAACCCAGGTGCAAATCAGGACCTCAAGTATCTAACAATGCAGAGTTGTTCTTTGATAGCTAAACAATATATTTTTTTCTGACCACCTGCGGCCTATTGAAATACATTATTTTAAAGAATGCCCTGAGAAAAAGTTCATGAGTTTTTTTTTTTTTTTCGTTTTTAAAAATCTTTTCAGGCATATTAAATGTCTGTATTGAAAATGACAGGTGTGTGTATGTGCACACAGTAGTGTATACTTGTGCATTCATTCACACTTGGGGGTTGAGGGATCATCCTGTTACTAATTGTGGATACATTCCCAGGAACCTGCTTTCTCCTTCACATCAGAAAGCTTGTGGTTAAACGTGACTGGTGTTTAGAGGGAATTTTGCATTTTATTTTATTTTATTTTGTTTTATCTGGTCCTTGATTCAGGATACAGGGAATTTTGAATGAACATTAATTTATAAATGAGATCCAGACACAAAGTTACCATAGAAATGGGTTTGTTAGTTTAGTAATTTATAGTCAGAAACATTACTGCCAGTCAGACTTGATAATGTGGGTGGGCTACCTTAGTGGAAAAAAAAGCAATGACCAGGAGCAGTGGGTCATGCCTGTAATCCTAGCACTTTGTGAGGCTGAGGTGGGAAGAGTGCTTGAAGCTAGGAATTTGAGACTAGCCTGGGCAGCATAGCAAGACCCTGTCTCAACAGAATACAAAAAACAAAAACAGAAATGTCCTATTGTAGTACTGTCCCACATTTACTGTGTGTTAGGCAATGGCCTAGTCACTTTTACATGTGTTAACGCATTTGCTGTTCTCAACAATCTTATGAGGTCAGTACCATTATATTGTTCCTGTTGCACAGATGGGGAAATAAAGATGCGCAGAAATGTTATTTAATTTGTCTAAAGTCAACAGTTAGAGTGGGGGATGTAGCAGGTAGGATTAAAACCCAGGTAGTCTGGCTTTGAAGTATGCACTCTTTTTTTTTTTTTTTTTTTTTTTTCTGAGATGAAGTCTCCTCTCTCGCCCAGGCTGGAGTGCAATGGCACAATCTCGACTCACTGCAACCTCCGCCTCCTGGATTCAAGCAGTTCTCTGCCTCAGCCTCCCAAGTAGCTGGGATTACAGGCGCCCGCCACCAAGCCTGGCTAGTTTTCTTGTATTTTTAGTAGAGATGGGGTTTCACCATCTTGGCCAGGCTGGTCTTGAACTCCTGAGCTTGTGACCCACCCGCCTTGGCCTCCCAAAGTGCTGGGATCACAGTGGCGTGAGCTACCGCCCCCAGCCGAAGTCTGCACTCTTAACCATTTGCAGTTCTGCCTTGAGTCATAGTGCTCCATTCACATTGGTGGTCATGTGTATTTTAGAGCTGGTGGTCAGGAAGTTGAAAGGGAGGGGCCTCTGGTCTACAGACCTTCTTGTCACAGATGCACATAAAGGTCACCCCCTGGCTGGTACAGCAAGGAGAGTGGTGTGGAGCTTTACTTTCTTGTCCTGCAGGCAAGCTACATGGATACAAATCTCCAAAGACAGCATGGGATTGGGGACTTTGGGGTTGTGTTTAATTTTTTGGTTTGTTTATATCCTACCTCTTTCCAAAGGACTTCTAAAAATACACATGATCTGAGAGAGAGGAAAAAAAGATAAAGCAAGGTCATTTCAGAGGGAGGGAAGAATGATAAGATGAAACAAGAGGAAAAGCTAGCTTACAGACAGACTTGCGTGTAGTAAGGTCACTGTAGATTTGGCTCTCAGCTGCAAGCCGAGAGAAAAATCTCAAGATTCACAGTGCTCATAAAATTAAAATGTGTCACTTGCTCTGAAAAGTAGTTATTTTAATGGCATTGAGATCTGAGACAGATTTTCCTGTGGGTTCTCTTAAAGTGTTGGAGTGGCCTGGATATCTCTCTTTTTTTTTTTTTTTTTTTTTTGAGGCGGAGTCTCGCTCTGTCGCCCAGGCTGGAGTGCAGTGGCGCGATCTCGGCTCACTGCAAGCTCCGCCTCCTGGGTTCCCGCCATTCTCCTGCCTCAGCCTCCCAAGTAGCTGGGACTACAGGCGCCGCCACCACGCCCGGCTAATTTTTTTGTATTTTTAGTAGAGACGGGGTTTCATTGTGTTAGCCAGGATGGTCTCGATCTCCTGACCTCGTGATCCGCCCGTCTCGGCCTCCCAAAGTGCTGGGATTACAGGCTTGAGCCACCGCGCCCGGCCGTGGCCTGGATATCTCTAGCAGAAATACAAGACAGAACATCCTAAATGTGTTTCTTATAGCTTCTTTCAGAGCAAGATGTGGGTAAAACAGCATGGCTCAACTCAGTAGACAATACTAAAAGGAAAGGAGCTAGATGAGTAAGGACAAAGGACTCGCTGGAAGATATTAAAAGCAAGGGACATTAAGCTATAATGCAGACTAATTGCCATCTTTCCGGCTGATCAGCACATGCCCAACAGGGGCACCGTTGGTGGAAGGAGGCTGAGAAGTCCTGGGCAGATACCAGTGGGAGACCCTGGCCATATTTGTACCATCTGGAGGATAGATCAGGGTTACCTTCTTGGGTTTTTGGCCATATCCAGAATTCATTTGCTAAACATTTCTTAATACATGTAGCTCATATTTTAGGCCCTGTGCTAGACACTGGGGTTCTAAGGAGCAGTAACCTAAGGTGTCATTCACAAGGGTCCTGAGTCTAATGGGGAAGACATATGTATCTATAGATATTACCTAGAGTATCCCATATCTACAACTGGATGGCTGATCTCATTCATTTTGTCAAAAAAAAAAAAAAAAGCTTGTAATTAAAAATGTAAGTAATTTTTTTATTTTTAGAGAATTTGGGAAAAGGTAAACAATAAATATATAACTAAAATATAGAAATCATCCCTGTCATCTACTGATAATCATTATTTACATTTGGTTGAATATTGTTTCAGGTTTCTTTCTTCTTCACATCCATTTCATTTCAAAAAAAATAAAAACAATTATCCTTAGAACAGTGTCTCAGCTTCCATTTGAAATGTCTTGCTGTTGGTTGGTATATGTTTCCAAAAGGCTGTATGGTTTTGCCCGCATTCTGCTTGAAAAATCAGTTCTGTCGCATCTTGATCTTTCCTTGGTTACTGATTTTGTTTCTGTAGAATCACTTTTGGCCACACAAGGTCTGTCATTGAAACTTTCTCTCTTAACTGTTATCTGTGTCACCATGGTACTCTGCTAAGATGTGTTTCAATTTCGTGGTCTTTAGCTCATTCTCTATGGTTCTTTCCTTCCTTTTCTTTTCCCTTTTCTTTTCTTTTCTTTTCTTTTCTTTTCTTTTCTTTTCTTTTCTTTTCTTTTTTCTTTTCTTTTCTTTTGGAGGTGGGATTTTGCTGTGTTGCCCGGCTGATCTTGATCTCCTGTGCTCAAGCAGTCTTCCTGCCTGAGCTTCCAGAGTATCTGGAATTATCCGTGCTTACCACCAAACCTGGCTGGGACCCTCCTTTCCTTTTTCTGAATGAGTGCGACCTCTTAGTTTTACACATACAGCATTTATGTTGTTTTCAGCCGCTCTCAGAAGCCTTGCAGTTCAATTAGCGTGAATCTGTCTGGCTTGTTAGAGTGTAGAAGTGTAGAAAACAGAACTTTTGTTCTCA